ATTAAATTTGTTTACCGATTCTACCCTTATTGATGAAATAAAATAAATATTAATTATTTTTTAATTTTTAATTTCCTAAAATAAAGTAATGTAATCTTAGCCATTSATCAAAAAAATGAATGAATGAGATTGGTTTACACGGTTTACACAAATGGATCAAATTTTTATTTGAACGCTCCCCCCTCTCTCTATATATATCCAAAATCTTAGCAATGATATTCTTTTTTAAATTAAAATTTGAAAATAGATCATTCCTACCGGCATTACAATAAGTACAGCCAATTGTTCATAATCTTCAAACTCCATCACCACTTTCTTCTCTCTCTCTCTCTCTCTCTCTCTCTCTCTCTCTCTCTTTCTCTCTCTCTCTCTCTCTCGATCTTGAAAACCCATCTCAAAAAATCCAACATTCTTTCAACTTGAAAAACAACAAGAAATTAAACCCATCAAGATTCCGCCATGGATGACCCTTTCAAACCACCACATTCTCACCTTGGTTCAACCAGCAAAAGAAAGATACCCGTATCAAAAGAAGAAGATGTCCACATTACCGGTCCCTCTACACCAACCAAACATCATCAAACCGAATCATCATCGACCAGAAAAGAAACCCAAGATACCGCCACCGCCACCACCACCGCCGCCACCATCAGTCTTCCACGTCGATGGAGGAGAGTAGAGATTAATCTTTTGAAGGGCATTCTTGCCTTTTATCGCATTCATGGGAGATACCCTTATACTAACACTGATGACCTGCAACATTTCTTCAAGAATTGGGTCCAAGAACGTGGGTTTTATCGAGATGCTATAGATTTGAACAGAAAAATGGAGGGTTTGAACCTAAGATTCTTGACGTATATGGAGATGAAATCGAATGGTGAAGATATTGAAGCTAATATGGATCCTGTTGAGAGAGAAATCTTCCGATTATCAAATAGGCTTTGGGGTAGAGAAAACGATGATGATGTGAAAGATTTATATGAAACGAGAAACGGGCGATGATCGATACGTTGTTGATACGAAAGATTCATGTAAAGATTCAAAAAAAGAAACTATATAGGATTAGTGGCGATGGATCGAAGCATTCAACATTGAAAGAATCGTCATCGAACAATAATGAAGATGGATCTTCGGATTGATAGAATATGTAGGTATCTTCGATTAATTTCTGCATTCGGGTTTTTGGTTTTTACGGTTTATAGTGTTGATCATAGTGGCCATGGATCGAAGCACTCATCGTTGAATGATTCATCATCGAACAAGGATGAATATGGATCTTCGGATTAATTCTTAGAACATGTACGTATCATCAGCGATCGATTTCAGCATTAGGGTTTCGCATTTTTTAGGGTTTATAGTGTTGAACATTGTCTAGTTGATATGAGTAATTGGATGGAAAGAAGTTTGACTTTTGGGAAGTTTTAGGACTGACTTTTGATGATTTTGTTTGAAGTTCATATTTTTGTTTTTTGTTTTTACGTTTTCTAGAAATATTACTTTTACTCATGATTGTTACTGGCTAATCGTTTCTTCACTGAGTTATTGACAGATTACTGACATAATTGAAATTTGATAGGTAAGGTAAAAACAATTACGTAAGGTAAATACGGATTACGGATTACTTCAAGACAACAATTATTAAAGAAAATATTAAGTAAGGTAAAAAGACTAAAATGTCCTCAATAGTTAAATGATGCAGTGTATTCGCTTCTCCCTGCGACCTAAGAGCAACACCGTCAACCATCAGTTATCTTGTCCAACGTCCTTCAATTTTTTAGGTTACCATCATGTACATCTTCGACCCTCGTTTTTCAATTGATACATTTTTTTCTCTTTTTTTTAGAGAAATGAACCATTAAGCGCCCTAATTTCGTATCAAATTTCAGATCCGTCAATAACTCATTGAGGAAACGATTAACCAATAATATTCATGAGTAAAAGTAATATTTCTAGAAATGTAAAAACAAAAAACAAAAATATGAACTTCAAACAAAATCATCAAAAGTCAATCCTAAAACTTC